CCGGCAGGTGTTTGCGATGCTCAGACATCCTCAAGAAAGCATCTCTGAGAGACACCTCGCGGCAGCAGCTGCCCTCTCCCTGCAGAGCCGCTGCCAAGACTCGCTGTGAAGGTACCTCACCTGCAGCCCGGGCTAGGGCTGCCTGACTGGACACACACCTCCATCCCAGCTGTGAGGACGCCAGCTGCCAGCATCTCTAGGCTGTCCAAGGATTAAAACCACACCACAGCAGTCATCTTAGACTTTAATCTTGTGGTTTAGTTAGCTAAGAGAACGCTTCCAGTTTAAGGGGTTAGGAATTACCCACGTTTCAAAACTGCATTTCTTCCAGACATCTTCAGCTATGTGTCTGTGTGTCCTGCTCTTGACATTAAGACTTCTGCTTTTGTTCTCATCTGGAGAACTCTTCTCTGGCTACTTATTTGCACAGGTCAGCACGTATTTCCATAGTGATGTAAAACAATAAAATTAAGTAATGAGACTTGGAATAACAAGCCATGCCTGGACTTCATTACGTAGGCGGAACTCCTAATCAAGGCAAAATACTATTTAGAGAAAGGACTCAGAAGAAATGGATCTCTCCCTTTTCTGTGTCATTTACCTCAATGGAGAAAGCAGAAACCATCATTTAAATTCAGTTTACTAGGTTTAAAGAGATTTTTGGCACTTAAGAAATTATCTCTAACACTCAGTAATTTTTTTTTACTATTTAAAGGAGAATTGACAGATACCTGTGAATATATTTGAGGAAAATACTTGATTTATACAACATAGCCAAGTACATGTTTTTAAAGCTAATTTCTAAGAATCTATTTAAAACAGTCTTTTAATACTACATATGGCAAGGAGAGGGGAAGACACAAGAGAAAATGTGGAAGTGTACCCCATGATCCCAGTATTATTTCCTGAAAGTTGCTGCAGATTTAGCATCTGGCTGGGCTAGTTATGAGGTACTCATTTCTTTTGTGCCCATCTCAGAAAGCTCCTGCTGCAAAACATTCCTGAGCACGAAGATGTACCCCAACAAACCAACCAACCTACCTTAATTACTAATTTCTTGTGTTTTTCAGGAAATAATGATGCTATACTGTGTTTGTACCACTGTTCACTCTAACAGAAGAGGAATCAGAGACCCAAACCCAGAGCTTTCAGCACCCAGGAGAGGTGAATTAAGTGAATTGAGGTTTTCCAGGCTGAAGGTGCCATTTGCTTCTGCCATGTGTCACACTACAGGCAGCAGAACCTCTAACCACTGGTTTTAGCAGTTTGCCTAGACAACCTTTACTGAAAGCCCAACATCCATGAAGGGCAAACCTCTATATGGTCCTTCCACATAGCTCTCTACTGGGAGAGGATAATAAGGGAAAAATCAACATGCCTATGTGTTGAGAAGAAAAAAGAACACTCCAAAGATGTCTACAGTAAAAAGGGACAAAACTCTGGGAACTGGAGGCAGGGGAGAGGGAAAAGCATTTACTTAATTACTCAAGTAATGGCCTCACTGTTAATGACTACAGGAGATGTAAAGAGCCAGACTAGATCCGAGGGGAAAGTAGCTCCAGCCTAAGAGTTGTTCCTGAAACAAACAGCACGCAGTTTGCGCTTGAGAAATAAAGCTGAGCGAGGTTACTGTGATTACACGAGCACACACTGCCCCCAGGAGGCAACATCCCATACTTTCCCACTCCTGTTGCTTCTTTCTGCTGCTTCTCTTTCACCTGCACTAACATTTATCGCTGATAAATGGCAAGTGATGGCTCGTGGGGAAAAAAATCCAAGCTTCATGTATGAAGTGATGGACTCTGAGCTGATCATTATTGTGTGCAACAAGGATAACCAAATATATGGAACACCACTCTAACAGAAAAGATGAAGTAAACTGGGACACTTCAGGTTAGAAAGGAATGAAAGTGATGTGAAACCCGTATATAAAACAAGGGGATTCAGAGGAAGAAAGACAAGAAAACAACTGTAATAAAGGCCATAAACAGCTAGTCCTGGTACTTTCCCCTGGAATTCACCAAGCCAGATAGCTTTAAATTTGCTAGGTGACTACCAGTGTAATAGGTCTTGGAACAACAGGGTGACATGGCTCTTCAGAGTACCTCACATCCCTCCTGCCACCCTGTGCTTCCTAAAAGTACACTGGGGACAGTGCTACCTATAGAAACCCACTTGCTACTGAGTGGCTTGGCCTGACCCCCACCAACTTGTACGCAGCACCCACCACCATTCCTACCCCACAGCCTGAGCTTTGGGGTATGAAAGGCACATGGACTGGGCAGAACTGAGCTGGTTCTGCTCAGTTCTTCAGGAGCAGAACTCCTGAAGGAGCTGGGTAAGATCTCATGATGCCAACCAGGGCTCTGAATGCTCCCTTCAGCTGTCAGCTTGGCCTGTGCAAACTGATGACAACCCACAGCAGAGGTATGTAGCCCTTGAGACAATCAAGGGAACCCATCCTAAGATATCAAAGTGGCTACCACCTTCAGAGCGATTTTTTGTACGATCTGTTGCTCGGTTTGAATATCGATGTATTCTTTTCCTCTGAAGCCTTGAAAGAGCTTTAAAACCGTTTTCAAGCTTCCCCTCTTCAGAACACACACATATCTGCAGTAATGCAATCCCCTTTACCATTTCCTAACAGGCTTAAAATGTTAAATTCTGGTCCCACAAGACACTTTGCTGTAAACAGGCCTCAGTGATTTCATAAATCCACTGTTCAGTAATAGCACAAGCAGCACTATTGGAACAGGAGAGTGATCCAGAGGGATGTCTGACGTATGTGAGAATGACCAGTGCGAGAAGCCCAACAGCAAGTACCTTCCATACTCCTGGAAGAGTGATGGAAACACTTGGATGCGAGTGCGAAACCTGCGTGGTATCATCAGACAGTAGCGTAACGCGGTGGAGAAAGGGAATGCTCGGGACAGGGCTGTGCCGCTCGGAGGCCGCCAGAGGGCGCCCCGTAGCCTGCCCGCATGGGGGAAGGCGCGGCCCAGGCTCTGTGTGTCTGCCTGTGGGTCCCTCTGCTGCTCAGGAGTGGGCAAAGACACAGCAGGAGGTACTTTTACGGGTAAAGCGTTCACAATCTCAGGGGACAGAGACTTTTTTTGAGCGGCACTTTCTGCCCTCATCAGTCTATGAAATGTTACTGAAAGGTTTTAAGGACAGAACCTGTTCCGACTCGGGCAAATACTTACACTGACAGAAACATTTAAATATGACTGATGCTGGGCTTATGCGCGCTGTACAAATTACACTGGTTTGGTTTTTCTGCTTTCCTAATAGCAGCTCAAGACTCCTGTAAATCTAAAACACAGGCTCTGCCCCAATTAATCCCCAGGCACAGACCACAGGGCAGCTGATGAGAACTCAACTCCTGGCCGCCCCCAGAAGGCTGCTATGCCTTTGGATTCTACCAGGATGTGGGTCTTGCCTACCTTGGGTAAATCACAGCTCTTCACAGTCTAATTCCTGCAGTGCCTCTGTGAGTAATCAACACAGTCAATAAAAACCAGCAATCTCTTGCAAGGTAATCACAAACTCAACAAGAAGGAGGAGCTGGTCAAAGAGCAAAGGGGTAACACAGCATGAGACATGCCACATTTCTGTTCATGTAACGTGGGCTGCGAGGGTTCATCATTCGGGAAGAGTTATTTTCAAATAAAGGACTTGTTTGTGAACTAAGGCACCTTGTAAGGGTCGTGACAAGTAAGACAAAGCCAACACCATCAGACAATTTACATTCGTAAATATGGGCCTGGAGCTGTCACATTTTCAGTTGCTGGCTCCACCATGGCCTCAGACAGGCCCTACACTTCTTGCCTCTATATCTTTATTGGAAAGATGATGATAGCGCTTACTTCTATAAATCACATACAGGGCTATGACTGACAACTGGTATATAAAGAATGAAATCTTGTTAACAGTCACTGGAGTTATGCCAACTAACAACCCTGCAAATTCATTCTGTTCTTGCTGTGGGTGTATTCATTTAGCTAATGAATATCAGTGTGTGGGATTAAGCAGACAAACCTGTAGCCAGTGAGAATGAATGCTATGCAGGGTGTGCATCCCTCTCAGCAATCCGTGATTAATACTTGGTTCTACCAGAGTTTATGATTTTCACAAACTCCAGAATAATAAGCCCCAGTTTTCTCAGGGGACTGATTTTTCCTAAATTCAATACTCTGGAGGTTGTGGCTCCCAGGTGGCTTACAAAGGACAAACAAAAAACTGGGAGGAAAATCACTTCTGCTGTGTTGAACCTCGATGTGTATCCCCATTGCAAACAGGAGGAGGGGCTGTTGTTTGCAGTTTAGAGTTCCCAGGACTGTTTGCCACCGCCAAGGGAAATGTTTACTACAGCTGTAGTATGTTACGGGCTGTTGATTTTAACTGCCTTTCAAAATGTGGAAACAACTGTGATATTTGGGAGAGACAGGCGAGCTGCACTAATAAGCTCTGTTCTGCAGCAGACCTGCTTCACACTTTGTCATGAAGACTTGCTTCTCTTTTTTGCCAATAGCCTGGGAGTAGGGAAGGAAAGGAAGGCTCTTAGGCATGACCTACACAGCCAAAGAAGTGAGCATGATTATCTTGAAGCTGCATCAACAGAGGCCTATGATGTCCTTTTTTATAAGATCCTACAGTAAAAGCAGCTAGCTGTAGCTGCAGAGCTATGGAGCTACTACATTAAGCCTTATTGTGAGTAAAAGCAACACTGAACATCAGATATGGCAGATATTCAGTGCAACTGAGAGCTGTCTTGGGATGTAGTGGCTTATGCTTGTGTTAGAAATAGGTAGCCAGAAATGCACCTTGGTTGAGGGCTCAGAGGAGTCCCTCAAATCTTTGGGAACACTCCAGTTCCAGACTCATGTCCATCTGGAGGTTGTTCCCAAAAGGTTTCAGTCCCTGGTCCCAGCTGGTGATGTATGAAGGAAATTCATTGCTTCCTTCCACTAGGTAATTGGTATTCTGGGATTTTGACTCACCTAAAAGTGGATTGGAGGTGCAGTGTGGGTGCTGGTTACAGCTGGGTGCTCTTGAGTGATGGGAAATGGTGCAATTTGCTTCATCCAGTCCCTTGGAATCCAGTGCGTAGGCTTCTTCCTGAGGCTTGTGTAGAGTGTCAGCCCCAAATGTGAAGTGTGTTTCTCACTAGCAAGAGATGAGCCAAATGAGAATAACATGTCAGAGGGTTATGAAGCTTTGCCTCAGCAAAGCTGTACTGCACGGACCCCACAGCCAGCTTTTTATTTCAGCTGTGAGCACACCTAACACTAAAACTGGAAAAAAACATCAGCAAGGCAACCAGTGGAAACTGGCAGATTCAAAGAGCAATGCAGCAAAGCTACTGCTCTCATCCTGATGCTCCCAGATGCTCTACAATAAAACTGGATGCAAACATGATTTTCAGTCATGGATCTGAGTTTCCATCCCTCCACAGGAGCTAAGCGTGACTTCTCTGTATGCAAGTTGCTTAGCTCAAACTGCTGCACCAGAAGTTACATGTCTGTTTGGGAGTATGAGTGGATCACAAGCACAGACTGATGCTCAGAAATGCTTGAGTTCCCAGTAATTTCAAAGCAAGCTGTGGATGCTCAGCATCTCTGGGGAAAAGGAAAAACAAAACCCACAATAAAAAAAAATCAGTCTGCTTCCATGTGCCAAATACTAATTGTTGGCAGACTGACCTCACGCATGCTGGCTCACCTCTTGTTTGACCTCTCCGAGACCTGTTTTCCTCCTCTGGATTATGTAAATAATGATAGCCTTCCTTGTAATTTGGTTGAATAATACCATGTAGATACTAGATATAATTAATTGCTGTCCTCCTCACACATCAGGAATAGGCAAATCATTAATTTCACCATATCTAAAGATTTGGCTTTTGAACTGTTTTGATAAATAAGTTGTACTGAAAAAAACCCAGACAATTGCAGTTACATACCTTGCTGAAATTACAGCCAAAGCCATAGCCTTACTGACATGAACATTGTCTGTGAATGAACAAGCACTTTGGATTTCTTTGCATAAACAACTAAACAACTAGACACAGGTCTGAACAAACAGATGAGTGAATGCCAGCCACCTTCATCACCCAGTCCCAGGTGCCAATGCAGCACCGAACTCTGCAAGTTCTACCTGCTAGTGCCCTGCATGCACCTCCCCTGCCCCAGGGTTTAGCTGCCTGTGCTCCAGGTCTGGGCTGATAGTGCTTGGCTGTCAGCTGGGCTCAGATTGGGAAACTAGGACCTGCCTTGCTTTTGCTCAGGAGTGGTGCTGCAGCTGAGACCCGTGGTCTCAGTCCTTGTCCAGGCTGTGCTGAGGGGAGGCATTTTCCAGTCTCGTACCTCCCTGCCCCACTGGTCTCCTGGCCTGATCTTAGATGTGCCACGATGGGTTCACCTGTTAGCTGGGCTCTTGGCTGAGACTGGTTGCCCTCACTGTGTCTGTCCTGCTTGCTGTGCTGCTCAACTGCAGATCAGAGATGCAAGAAAAAGCTTTCCCGATTAATATTTTAGCTTGGACAAACAAATAAATTTGACTGGTTTGGCTGAGCTGAACCCCTTCGATGCCTGTGATGACCTAGTTTAAACTTTATTGTGAACTGATCCAAAGATTTGTGTTTAGATGGAAAGTTTTCCCAGAAACTCTGCCCTTACAAGGCAGCTGCCTAGCTGATTCTCACAAATGAACCGACTGTGCCTGGGACATGCACAACAGAACTTCATGTGATCTAAAATGGAGAATGCTGAGTGCTTTCAGCACACGTGCACACCACCAGCTCCTTGCTGCACACAGCTAGCTGGCATGCTGCAGAGGTCTGTAGAGGTGTAGTGTGTACAACCCCTGACTCACTCAGACAGTCCAAGTCAGTCTGAAGCAAACCTGCCTTGCCCTGGTAGGGCCCAGGGTAATACACACATCATCTTGGCATCTGGGCTGTGCTGGCGTGCCTTTGCTAATGCAGATGGAGCAATGCTAACGAACACCAACCAACATTCACCTTGTGTCATGCAACTCCAGTTAAGCACACTCAGAACAGAAAGCAAAGTTGTAACTCGCTGTCGTAGGCAATGCATTATATACTATCTAAAGAAGAAAAGACAGGTAGAAAATCCTCTCCACTGGCTCAGTAAGGAGATACTTGTTGTCACTATACTGCATTAAGGTAAGATTCAAAACAAACCTACTACCAGCTACCCATTTAGGTGTAGACACTTAGAAATGTTACTTCACTTAGCTTGTACTTTCTGAGGGAAGGCACTGGGTCCTCTGCTTGTCTTGTGTTTGTAATTAGCATAACAGGGCTTTGAACTATAACCAGTATTCCCACAGCGATTCAATAGCTGAGGCATTTAAGAGATGCCAGAAAATTGCCCAGTGCGACTGGCAGATAACCCCACTGATTGTCACAGGACAAAGACAGTAACTTTTAACAACCTTGACAGAAAGGTAGAGGTAAAATGGTAGGATAGAAATGCATTATTTCAGGCCCATTTGTACATGTAGTATGCAAAATAACCTCAGCCATTGCATGATGACTGATTGCTGAGGTTGTCCATATTGTTAGTTTTGCTTTGATTTAATAATTTTCTATATTTATACTTTTATAACACATATTGTTGTTTCTGAGGCCAAACATTTTTTTTTTCCAGTGTCTTCTTTAACCAGTCATAGTTGAATGATGTGACCTATTAAAAACGGATTTCACTGCATGGGGTATTTCCATTATGTCTTCAGCCTGTGCCTAATAGCACTGTTTTGCTTACTATAAAATATTTTGGTTTCCTTGAAGAAGTCCAGTGACAGAGATGAAAACAAAGATTACATTATCCAAACACAGATGCTCAAAAGCAAACATACGAGGACCTTGTATAAGGATTCTTAGAAAAATAATTCCTTAATTTGCTAGAGAATAAACATTAAGGATATCTGATGAAGGGGACATGCTAACCCTCACATTTTGTTCCTGGTTATTGAAGGAAGCCACTTCATAAAATGCTGTTTCTTAAAACGACCGATGTTCTCTGTGAAGCAGCGTCAGGCTTTTTGCCTCATTTCATAATTTGGGAAGGTGCTCTAGACCAATAGCTGTGATTATCAGAGAACTTCTTCCAGCCCAAACATATTCACAAGTCAACACTGTCTGTACAGTGTGTTCCAGGGGTTCCCCTAAGTGACATTTCTTGCATAAATAGCTTCTGCCATGTAAATGCCAATGGAGATGTACATCTTTTCCATCCAGTTGTCTTTGTGACGTAAATAAGTCTTCAAATCTCTTCTACTCATTTGGTGCAAGCTCCCTATGAACTCATCTATGCATACTCTTGCTTACTGCTTTTTGTTTCCTTGGATTCTCTGGTCTTGCCTCTGTATTTTTCAGCTTTTTGTCTGAGTAACACTCCATACAGAGTTAGCAGATCCACCAGCTATGTGCAGAGGAAGGAAGCAAACCTCCTTGCAGCCTTTAACTGTACATTAGACCTAAAGGCCTCTCCAAGGAGGTGAAGCTGAAGGTGACATGGCACATGAACAGAGTTCAGCTGGGGAAAAGATCTTTAGCTCAGCAGACGTGCACTTGTTAAGCCTGACAGACAGCTAACATTTCTGACTAATAACAGAATTTGTAGGTTTTAAGGTGTTCATTCAGAGAATTAATTTGAACGTATTTGAATAGATTTGTTTGGCACTGAAAATAATGTCCCTACAAAACATCACAAGAACCATAAGAACAGACAGACCTTAAATTAGTGGGCTGGACTTTTTAAATAACCTCCCAGTAATGAAGGTGCTTACAGGCAATGTGTGAGTCAGCAGCAGAGCTTGTACTAAAACTTAGCTTTGCAGCTCATGAACCAAGGGTCCCTCCAAGGCATTAAACTGGCTTCTACAGTAAAGCAGCTTATGTGTGTTTTCAGGGTGAGAAAGGATATTGGAAAGTTTGCTGATCACCTAACTTCCAGTTATCAGCCACGTCAAAAGGCAGGATGAAAAACTGGGTAGATCAAATACTTTTATCTATGATGACACTCCTAAAAGCACACAAAACACATAACTGTCTTAACAGATTCTGTAATGGACTGGAACTCTTGTTATCCAGGTAACTTGAGGAGGTGTGTTATTTATAACTAGGTATCTGTGAATTTCCCACTTGATCAAAAGCAACTTTTTTATTAGCTCCTCAGAATTCCTTCATTCTTGTCTTAGCCTGAAGAAAAGGAAAACCCCACACTGACACATGAGAGAGCAGGAAAATAGGCACAACAGAAAGCACAGCATTGCTTAACAAATTGGGAAAGGAAAGAGAATATGTATCTCATAGCTTCTTGTTTACTAGGTCTTTCCTCCAACACTACTTAGAGAGTGCATACTTGTCCTGCTTTTTCAATTCTCAGGCACCAAGAAAACAAGAAGCAGATTCAAGCAGGAAGCAGAGGAAGGTAATTTTTAATGTTCACTCTAAGTTTGCGAATAGGATCCATGTCCCCATGTTTTGTCGAACTGTAAGTTAAATTGTCGCTTACAGGTATAAGCTAACATTATATAAACCAGATTTAAAGTGACTGAATCCATTTACACTTGAACCTGCAGCAGCTTCTGTAATTGAGTTCAGCATAGCCTTGAATTGGTCAGGCAGTTGGACTAGATGATTGTTGTAGGTCCCTTCCAAGTGAAATATAATATCCCATTCCGTTCCGCTAAACTAACTGTGCCTTTCTGCTTACCGATCTTTTCCAATACAGACATCCCATGGTAAAGGAGAGCATCACAAATGTAAAATGATTGAACACAGTGAAGATGTTCTTTGCATACACATGGCCTAAGGCACTTTCTGCCTTAGGAAAGAAAAAGAGAACTGAAAAATACCTGGCAATTCCTTACTCATTAAAGAATGTCAATGACTCATTTATTTTAAGAGTATGATCCAAAGATAGTTCATCAAATAGGTAGGCATTCCTTCTCAAAGGCTGATATGGTATGAAAAATTACTTAATCACATCACAGTTGTTTCTGAATGTAACTGTTTTTTCAGCAGCCCATAACCTTTCCTAAGTTCTATAGGCTCATGCTGACCCTTACCACAAATGCGAGGCCTGAGAATGAGTGTAAGGGTAAATTAATTAGGTAAATAAAGTTGCAAGTAGCTGATCAGTCGAACACAGAGATTGTGGTTTCTTTACAGTCATTTACTAAGCCATTGTCAGGAATGCAATATCATATAGCTTGTGAATCAGAACTGTTAGACACGTTCACCTTTACACTGACAGTGCATAGTTCACCTGTGCACTGACAGTGCATAAAGGTGCTAGCCTGCAGCCAGAGTTTCTCAGGGTCTGCAAAATAAAAGGAATCATTCCTTGCTTTTCTCATTAGGGATATCCTTCCTGCTGAAATTTCAACTTCAGACACATTAAAGCACGAAGAGCGCTGAAGTGTCAAAGTCCCGTGTCCTTACAATTCTATTATCAGTTTCCAGGAATAGATTTGTATTAAATTGTCTGCACTACTGATATTCTTCCCAGCAGAGTAGAAGGTGGTAGTTGACCTGGTCTTCTAGTTGTTTTCCATCCACAGAGCAGATTGAGAGCTCCAAATATAGTTGGCGCATTACTAGGTATTCAGCATATTATGATATACTGCTACTCTATATTCATGAAGTCTCAAACAGAAGAATGTACTTGTAATACACCTCTGTCTTCCCATCTGCAACAAACTAGCTCCTTGAAGATTGAACACTACCTAAGGAAGGAAGGAGATTAGCCATCCTGTAAAGGAAGCCTTTATTCAGCAATAAATACAATGAAGGAAAGTAAGATCATCCTGTTGGAAAGCAGTGTGAAAGGAAACATGGAACCATTTCTTCCTAAAACCACACACTCACCTTGCTATTCATTCTCAGGGCAAGTCTTTAGCTGCAGCTGCTAAGTCACATTATAGGGTGAGATCAACTCCTACTGTTGCCTACGGAACTCATGTGAAAACTTGATAGGAAACAAACTGAACTCAGGCCATTTGAAAAGTCTGGAGAGAGTTTCCAAAGATGCACTTGCATTTTGATGCTTTTCTCCCAGCTGTACTCATCCCATAGACCACAGAAACCTACGCAGGCAAGGTAAGACCACTTTACCAGACTTCTGTGAGCAGCGCCGGAGAAATGAGTGGGGAAATACACTGAAAACTGGCATGAGTTTTCCTGTTTAATCTTCCTATATTTAATAAGAAGGCTGCCTGACACAAACGCTTCATTCAAGAGCCTCATAGCCGCAGAGGTTAAAATGGCCCAGCAATGGAAGGACACTGAATAACATAGGGTTTGGCAAATTCACCTCCTGAATGATGTTTGTTGCCAAGAAAATTCATTCTGACTCACAAAAGGATATGAATATGTGTAGTACTGATAGCCCTTCAAAGCAGTTTAAAATGTCCAGCAGTTTTATAGATTCCTATCTAGCCTGAAGAATAGTTCCGGTTTGCAGAGGACAGCTCTGTAGGCTCTCTGAATGCCACTTGTCCAAAAGGACCTGGCGGCTGGCCTGCCTGGGAATAAGCAAGCGAAAGCACGGAAGCGGAGGTGACCTGGCAATGTGTCAGCAAGGAGTGGCAGGCCTGAAAAGACAGTACAGAGCCAAAACAGGATAGTGGCATATAATCAGAGCTGCTCTGCTACAACAGTTCTGCCCTGAAGAGCTCTGGGTTTTAATCCTGTACAGCATGAACCCTGAGGAAACACTGCCTGACTTTCCCAGGGCTGATACTTGGTGATTGACAGTGCTATTGACACAGCTGTCAGGTGATTTCATCACAAGATTTGGCCTCTAAATTGCTAAATTTAGTTCTTAATGATTTTAGAGAATGGCTGAGTCTGAAGATCTGCACATGCGTTTGTCAGAAAGATTTACAAAGGGAACAAAACCAAGGCTTTGCGGCATGGATGGTCAGACTCTCCTCTGCTTAACACACCTTTGGCTTTGCACATCTAAAACATCTATCTTGGACAGCAGCATGCTCTTCACAAAGCTGTTAGTCAAACTGCGCAGCAAGTCTAGGCTGTAAGCAAGCATTATAGTCCCCTAAATCGGTACAGTGAGAAACTGAAAAATTCTGACTTGCCTAAAGCAACAAAACAAGATGGTGGCAAACAATTTGGATCTGGATGATAACATTTTCCTACTTTGCTTGATGTTACTCTTTCAGGTTAACTAAGAGGACTCTTCAACTCTGTCTCCAAAAGTGAATCTTTCATTCTGTCCTTGTGGATCTTCCCATTCTACACTGGCCAGGCTTCTTGCCATTAAAAAATGTATCAAATAATCAAACTCTTGACGGTTAAAAAAATTGTCTGCATGTCACAAATTTCTGTCTCCACTTCACGCTTTGAACAATATTTTAATATGACATCCAGTGAAGATATATCCCTTGTATCTGATAACTTACCACTTCCCTGGAGTCCACACTCCATCTGTTGATGGCTGTCTACATAAGGTCTCAAGCATGCTAAATAACGGTATTTGAAAAGGAGGCGAGTTAATTGCCAAGACACACCAGCATAAAGCAGGGATCAAAGAGCTATCTGTATCCCCTCAAAAGCTGGAACGGACTAAAGATTTAAGAGACTTTCTCTCTTACTAGCACGGGCATCAGGGCAGGACTGCCCAGATTTAGAGCCCAGAAACACTGCTGGTCTTTGTAAGTAAAGCTCAGTCTAATTTTTTTGCTGAGAATTCACTGCTAGTTTTAATGTCCCCACAAACTATTTGGCAGCAGCACAAAGGTTTCTTCAGACAGCTGTGGGATATTACTGAGTACTTCATGCTCCCAGCAATGCAGTAATTCCCTAACCATTGGATAATTAAGGGCTTTGTTGAGGTCCTGTGGCATATTTGTGCATTTGAAGTGCTGCACCTTGTTGCCTAGGTCAGACTGACACACGCACCAAGAAAAAAGCCTAAGTTCTAGCCAAACTTCTACCTACAAAAGTGGATTCTTTATTAGTGTTTCATAGCTGCTGGAGGTGTAGTCCATCCCAACCTGCTCCACTTCCCTTGGAGCATTTGCTTTTAGTCACCATTAAAGCCCCAGTGCTCTGTTAGAGAACTGACTTGGCTCTCTCAAGAGCAGAGCAGATAAACATTGAGCCTTTTGTTCTCCTCACCCAGTGAAAAGAGAATGAAATTCCTGAGGGGATGATTCTATCTTATTTGATCATCATTTATAATTTCTTCCTTTGTTTTCTGTCATGGATTTCCCTGGGAAAGAAACAAAGAAGCTTTCCCTGCCTGGTGTGTGATTTCCCTGCCCTTCTGCTGACAAGCCAAATGGTTGCTGCTGACTGGTGATAATATTACGCTATGCAAGAGGCAAAGGGGAAATGACCTGTCAGCACTCAAATAATAAAACTTGCAACGGCCACATTTCACTGTTGATGTCTTATTTGTATTTCTGTCTTTCTAGAGCCTTTCTTCAGCCTGAAAAACCTTAAAGAAACTTTAAAATACATTCAGGAATTGAAGGCTGATTCTACCAGCTTTTTCTCATACAGGTGCTTCATGAAAACCTGCATTAACATCATGAGGATGACTCATACAAATGTCTGCAGATGCAAGCACTGTTCTTCTGTTCTAAATAGTAAGTACACTTGCCGAGTGCACTGTATGCATTGTCTGGAAAATGGGAGGTTACATCTGTAAAACAAGCATCAAGAGAGCTGATAAAGATTTTAAACAACTTGAGTGACAAACACAGGTCACCTTCACATGCCTAATATTTTGTTATAAGTGCCATTCATGTTTCATGTCCCAGCAACATAAAAATATGCAAACTATTTAAGATGTTATCAATCCTCTGCATTTTTCCAGTTCATCACTATCTGCTCCTTTCAAGTACAGATTTAAGGAATTCTGGCTGAAGTTTTGATATATGTAGATAGAAAGACGAAATACTGTCTAAAGAATTTTAGATGAGTTTTCCAAAAATTTCACATATAGAAAGAAAAAGAAAGAAGAAAAAAAAAATTAAAAAATGAAACATTTTGTAATCAGGGACCAGCAAGACAGTATAATAGAGAAATGATATTCTGGGCAAGTATGGGCATTACAGCCTGCTGTTAGAGCAGAAGCTATAGACTGACTTTTCTACAGTGACTAAACCCCTTCAGGCTTAATGTAATGTAACCTACTTTTCTTAAGGAAGTATGTTCAATGTAGGTTTTGGCAACATTTTATTTTTCACACATGATGAATTAACCAGCAAAACATCCTGCCCTTTCTCACACAGATGAAATAAACTGACACCATGAGAGTTTTTCTCCTCAAGATTTTTTTTTTAAAAAAAAAAGAAAACATAGAGCAAACCTCACTCTAATCTCCATTGAAAACCTGGTGTTTGGTAGATTATTCGTTCTTATGGGAACTGAAATGAGATACCAACTTCTAAAACTTTTTTTCTGGGGGGAGAGGAATTTTGCATATCCATTGTATCTGCAATTTTGTGTTTTTCAAAACCAGATGTGTTTTTCATAAGTGCCCTCACTGACAAGGATGACTTAATAATGTCAGTCACTCACTACTCCATGTCTTCCTGGTCTGTAAAGGAGGCTGGGTAAGAAAGGCACAGGGCTCAAACTCACAGCGTTCCCAGAAAACATTTCTGATTGTCTCATGGATGCTCCGCAAGACATGAGGCATGTCAGTGTCAGTCTGCTGCAAAATCTAACTCTGGATTTGGTTTATGCATCATCTTTCCTTCTATAAAATGAAAAGAGTCCCTTTTTAGAATAAAAAGGCTTCAGGGCAGGGAGGGTGACTTAGCAAGTAGTTGTAAATTCCCTTGCAGGTTGGAAGCCTGATTTCAGCACTGCCCTCCAGGCAAAATCTTAAAGGTAATGCAAGAGGTAATAATAAACTTAGCTACAGCTTCCCTGTGAAGTATCTGGGCGCTGTCAGTGATTGTTTTCTGGCTTTCTTGTCTATTTGATGGCTACTGCATTGCTTGCAAAGTGCTAAGAGTTAAATCTAATAATTGTACCTTCATATACCTAGATGAAAAAGTCACAGATTTCAGAAAACTGACTGCAGAACAGGTGTCAAATGCTTCTGATCAAGCACCACAGGTGTCCAGGGGAACAGTGCTCCAGAATATGCAGTTCTGAATGGAATTTTTTGAAGATCTGTAGATCTGGAGAGGCAAGAGCTGAAATTTTGCTTCTCCGTGAATAGTGACATTTGAATAAGTGGGGCCTGCTTCAGTGTGAAGGAAGATGCTAAATACTTAATAGAATAATTTGCTTGCTGGCCTTTTACTATTTTGTCCTTCTTCTGTGACTGCTGCCCTCCAAATGCATAAGTAATAAGTAAGTTTATCTGGGTCACTGTGCCATCAAAAAATCATATCTCCCTTCCAAACAAGTTGCTTGGAAGTGGTCAGGCAGAATGAAGGTGGAAGAACAATGATGGCTGGAACCATAGGGTGAAAACACCTTTAAAACATGGTCGTACCCAGAAAGAAGACATGGGGACTGTTGTTCTCATTGAAATAACTAGATCTGGAGAGGTCTGAAAGCTATGGCTAGTCCTGAATAACAGCTGTTCTAAAATACGTATTTCTGTCACAAGAAGAATTTAATTTTATCTTCTATAATATTGCTTCTTCTAACTCCAGAAGGGGTGGATAGAGTAACTCTGGTGTAACATGGTGCACATAAAACCTATTGGAGTTACAGTTTAAAATAAACGTGCTATATTATTTTAAATTACTTGTACATAAAGTCAGTGTTCATGTTCTCTGCCATCCACCTTCAAAACAGATAAGGCGCATCCTCTGAAGTGCAAGGAATCAAGAACTGTTGAGTAGATGATGATCTCAACATGAACGTGCTTGTAGCGGCAAAACCAGTTTCTACAGGGAGATGGACATTCTGTGGGTGCTGCCATTGAATATTGTAATTTTCATGTGATTGCTAATATGGGAGCCTCCCCACCCTCTGGCAGCTGCTGAAAAGAGATGTCACATGATAATCAGATACTTAGCTGATTTTTTACTTCTATTTCAAGGTATCTCCCCTAGTACAGGTCTGAGCCAAAAGATAATAAAACCCATGGCTTTTCAGAGTTAGGAAATTAGCATGCTTTATCTTCTACTATGGAAGCTGCTTTCTGTGTGACTTTTTCATGAATCTCAGTGACCAGGCACTACAAATATCAGGCACAAATTAATTCTTATTCTCTTTTGCTGACAGTTCCACCAGCAAGCTGTGATGGTAATACCTTTTCTGGGGTCACTGAAAGAGCAAGCCTTGCCATGTGAGCCTTCACTAATGATGGTATCATACCCATACTTGTATTGCTGCATATTTCTGTTTCTTCCCTTAAGCTTTGCAACTGCTAATGAGAAGCTGAAGTCCTGTAGCCTAGCCAAGAGCACATAAACCCAGAGTGTTCAAGTTCTAAATAAAAAGGAAAAGTAAAGAAAATAGTGGCTGAAAGAAAGCACCAGTAGCCTAACTGAGTAGTTGAGAATCAATTTGAAGAGACATTAAAGGCCAGTTGCAAGAGGTATATAAACATAGCAAGACTTTCAGAGGTAGCTAAACTGGTTAAATTCTTGAATTATTCAGTGAAAGAGAGTTACCTGTGGTTAGTGTCAAGCTCCAAAACACAGTTCCTCTACATCCAGAATTGGAGGCCAGAGCTGAGGCTGGTTAAAAATCAGAACACATCCCTTGCACCCATGACAAACAGAAGCTTAATACAGAAACTGGCTTTGGAGATTGCTTTTTCATGCTGAGACTGGGTTATTTTGTGTAGTGAATACTCTAGCTGGCTAATTCTCTCCAGCTGCATCAAGCCACATCTTTTGCAGGACACAATCATTCTCTCCCTGGAGAAGACCCAGCATCTTTCCTCCTTAAGCTTTAGCAAGCTACAGTTTTATTATCACAAAACATCTGGGCCCATGTGTATTACAGCATTGTTGCTATGGGCTAGCTAGTTAAATTAGTATACAGTCCAAAATGAGAACAGCATTTATGCTGTTAGCTATTATGATGTGTGTTGTTTATCCCAGGTTCAAAATGGAAAATCCTAAGTACTCTGACATCCCTGGAAACCCTCAGCTTTCAACTATCTGTATTCCTTGTTCTATTAATTCTTGTATCTTATCATTGCTCCTCACCTCCCCAGCACCCTATGGATACTGGTTAGGTCCAGCCACAAATCTGCAACTGTGGGTGAGTCTGACTGCCTTAACATCTTGCAAAAAGACAGTGGGAGAGTCTGTCTGTCTGCCTGCCTGCCTGCCTCTTTTCAGTGGGTTCTGTTATCTCTGCACCACACCACCAGTTAGTTCTCTTTCCCAAGGAGGCACCAACTGACTTACCTTATATTTCGCTGCTGCAAGTCTCATCATGTTTCATAATGTCCTCAGGTAAACTAACTTACTCCTCTGTCAAACTCACAAGTCAAGCCAGACAGCTTCTACTGTCTCACACGCTAAAGGGTTAGTCCTCAATAGTCTTTTCTGATCAGAAAAAAACTGTGTGTTAGCTGGGACAACCACACCTACCTTAACTCATCTGCTTGTTTGAGCTTTTCTTAACTGAACAGCCAATAAGCCTCCAATAACCAAAGGAAAGAAACAGGTATTCCCACACAGAGCTGCAATACTTTACACTGCAGAGATGAAGTGGATTCTAAGGCCTATTCTTTAGGTAGATCTCAGGACACAGGACAAGGAACCTAACAGTCAGAATTAACTTCTCATTGTGAGGGTCCCTTCTACAGACAGCCGGAGCTGGAAAAGCTACAATCCCAACAGGTTGCCAGGATGTACTGGGAGAGAAGGTGGGATTTCTGTCTAGTTTCCATTATGTTACCATTTTCTTTCTCCCCACAGCCCTATAGTATCAGGTTTTTTTTTCACAGAGATACAGATAAAAATAGCAAGTAACTTACCTTTGAACTGCTGGCTTCCATGACACTAGAATTTAGATGTTGCCAGGATCAAAGATAAGCTTGGCCAAATAAACTGAACAGTGTGGGTATTTACGAGACATCTGGTAAAAGGCAGCTGCAGCTAACATTCAGTAGAAAACAAAACCAATAATATATGACATAGAAATACAGGATGGTGGACTTCCTCTCTCCTGGATGCGGAACCCAGCTCATTTGTCATTTTCCCACCAACCACAAAAGCATCACACAAACCTCTCCTGTTTGTGTGATCCTTTCACACAACTGAGAAGGAGGTGGGGGTTCATGAAAGGCAGGGTACATGGAGTACAATAGACTGCAGAAATGTAGTGAAGTGTCTGTGGACCAAGATAGAGGATAAGATCATTTCCCTCCTCGATGGATCAGTCCTGCTTGCTACCCATCTCTTTCCACATACTCTTTGGGGAGCTGTGTGTCTGCATCCAAACTGAGCACTGCAAAAGTCAGCACTAGCAGCTTTCTGCAAACCACTGGCCTGATTCATGTCACCAAGCTCTACTTTCATCACAGCCCACTTCCTTTCTAAAGAGCTCTCTAAAGCCCCTCAAGTCCCAAGGGGAGACAATGGTCCGCAACCTATTCTGCTCATGCACGGGAGATGTCTCCAGATTCACAAACCTCTTCAACCCCCACACAGAACCTTTGAGGAGTCCCTTCTCAAGTTCACACCACCTGTTTAAGTATTAACTCCTCTCACCTGGATGAAGGACTTTACTGCTTTAGTACATGCTCATTATTTTATTATTTGATTTCCTGTTTTGCTCACAACTTTCAAAATGGTTTCTGAAAAATTTGGTACCTCCATTCCCTGTCCACGTTAATGGGGACTTTGACTTGTGATGCTCGAACAGGAAAATCCCCCCTGTAAGACATAGGCATGTTTTCACAATCATTCTGCCTGCCTGACAGGGCTGTTGGGAAACATCTAAATTACAGTGTGTGCAACTGCTCTGCAAGAGCAAATGACTCCCCAGCTTTCTCTAGTATGTTAATAGATGTACTATAACTGTAAAAGGGAAAAAGCTCAACAGGAAAGGCAGACATGACCAGTTCCTTCCTTAGACAGTCTCCTTGCCTTCAGCTCTGCCACTCTGAGCCACCAAAGGCAATGAGGCAGGGAATTCAGGGGAAGTAAGCTGGGGCAATGAGCTGCACAATACACACACAGCTTACATGTTGCAGAACAAGGCATAGGCCCGGACAAGTCAGAGCATCACTCAGGCCTGTGAACAACAACTGGGCGTTGCCAAAGTCCAAAAGCAACTGCAGGCAGGTCTGTATTGGTCACAGAATTACCTGCATGATGTGGAGTAAGGAAGTCCCAGAGTAATCCCTAACTCATGAGATTTACCAAGACAGCCAATGCAAGCTGATTAGGGCACACTTCTGTTTCGCTCTTTGGTTTTGCTGCTTTTCACTGCCTCATTATGTCAATAATACAGTGTAACAACAACAAATCTTCTCAAGCTCACTTTTCTACTTTTTTTTTTTTTTAAGTAGGAAAAGAAGCATGTCCCATCTGTAACTTATTATGCCTTACTCCCTTTCTAGCAAAAAACAAGAATGAGTCTAGAAAGCCACAGGTCAGCTACAAAATCCAGCCCATAAAATATTGACAGTTTCTCCTACCAGCAGACAATGGATGGGTTTCTGTAGTTTTGTGCTGGTATTAGCCAGCTGCCAGAAAACAGCCCTGTGATGAAGAATGGGCTTCTGGCTTGCAATTCTCAAAGAACGCATTGGAGAGACTCGGGCTCTTCACTTTGTTTCAGACTCCAGAGGAGTTCAGCGCAGGAACATGTACTTGTGAGAGCAGCTACTGGGAAGGTGGCCCTTTGCCCCTTGTATTCTGAGATGCTGTTCTGGATTCTTGACTGAAATACAACATCAGACATCCAGAGAACTAAGGGTTCATTCAGGCTCTACTACTGATTTCCTCTGCAACCTTGAGAAGCGCCATCCCTTCAGCCAATGTCTGCCCCTGTAACACTGGAAATATATTCATTTCCTAATGGCAAAGGAGGTAGGACTGAATTAATCAGTCTGTGAAACTGTGTGGAAAAAAAACAAACCAAGTGTGTGGGACACTTTCAGAAAAAGCATAGAGTTGCTACATCACTGAAAAAGCTGATGCCTTAAGATATAGCTAACAACACACTAAGATATTTCAGAGTAGGGGAGTGTTGTGGTTTAAACCCAGTCAGGCAACTCATTCACTCACTCCCCCCCTTCTTTCCCTCCCCCTACTCCCAGAGGGATGGAGAGGAGAATCAAAAAGAATGCAACTCCCACGGGTTGAGATAAGAACAGTTTAGTAACTAAGGTATAACACAAATCACTGCTGCTACCACCAATAATAACAATGATAAGGGAAATAACAAGGGAAGAGAATACAACACCTCAGCACCAGCCGACCGATAACTCGCCCCCCCAGCCTGACCAAGCACTGCCTGATACCTCCTCCAACCCCGCAGTCCCAGCCCTTCCAGCTAACTCCCGGTTACATCCTGGGCATGGCGTGCTGTGATATGGAATCCTTCTTTGGTCAGTTTGGGTCAGGTGTCCTGTCTCTGCTTCCTCCCGGCTTCCCCTCCTCCCTGGCAGAGCATGAGGCTCACAAAGTCCTTGACCAAACCAAAACATCATTGTTATCAGCTCTGTTCCCCAGCTGAAAGTCAAAACACAGCACTGTGAGGATCTAGCTCACTACTGGACACTGGCACAAAGAGTTCAGTGTGGCTGAATTGATTAACTGTTTATTAAAGAATTTCTAAATCATAGTTTATAGCTTATACCATTACAGATCTCTCCAAAGCAGTATTTTCAATAGGCCATAGCCTTACAGTTATGGGACAACTGGTGTATATTCATGAGATATTTGGTATCGCCAAGTGCCATCTAGCTTGCCAGCATCCTCCTTAGGAGTCTGGAATTAAAATACATGAGTCCTTGATTTCAATTTTGTTTCCTTCCCTAAAGGGCATGAATATATGAACAGGACTTCAGTGGTATTGAAAGTGTTTCTTAACCACCTGGTGATGACCACCAGTAGCCCTGCTGATAACTCAGAACCAGCACTCCCCTCTGTTTCAAAGGCATCAACTGAATTTACTGAATCAAAACAGTCCTGGAGACTGAGACTTTGATCTTGCCTTAACATACTCATATACAGTGCACCTGTAAAGGAAATAAATTTAATTCAGATTTACAAACCCAGGAGTAAGCACTCTGCATAATTATTTGCTTAGTTAATCCAGTTGATGGAAAGATTTGCCTGAAGGAATATGTCCGCAGTTTGCTGAACAAAGGCTGCTTGTGTTCCAGGTGAATTTCCATCCTTTTTCTGGTTAAATCCCTAACAAATACTCCACAGGCTAACCAGTTTGTAAAACACCTTCTGACTACGGTGGTTCATGATTAAGCCAGTTGTTAGATAGATTCCCAGCTCTAAGTCAGAGCTGAGAACATTCAATACGTAATTGGACTTTCCTTTTCTGAAAGTTTGGTGTTTATTTGTCCAGAAAACAGTCACTAAAGGTCACTTCCATGAACATGAGGGAAAAACCTTGAAGCTTTTATAACTCAGGATTATATAATGATTTTGTGGCTGAAATCATAATGCTGCTTTGCTATTTTTGTTGCCACATGACAGATGCCAATCCAGCTGCTGTGTTCCCTCTCTAAGTGCAATCTCCCCACCCCCAGTGCCACCAGGAAGCGATGAGGTACAGGGGAGCTAAATACTGTATGAAAACAGTCTGCTATGAGCCAGATGCTTTGGTCCCCCAAGTGTGCATAGTGCTATGTGTATGAGAGGTATCTAGATATTGTCTTTGTGCGAGCAGCGTGAAGTTGCAGAAGCGGCCCTGACCTCTCCTGCACTGGAATAATTCCTTTCTGTATATAAAAAGAAACAGGGAATGAGTCAGAAATGAGGAGAGAGAATATGGCAAAAGGAGTGTCATGTTTCCAACCAGGAAAAGGATGGGGATGGAACACAGCTCTGTAGACCTGAGCAGTTAGTCCAGCTGTCCCTGTCACACTGCTACACAAGCAGCTCAAGCTGAAATGGTTTCCTGCAGCATACAGCTAAGGTGCCTGAAAGCACTGAGTGCACAGTAGAACTATGCCCCCCAAAGCTGTGAAAAGGAGCAAACTCTTAATCACTGCTTGTCAGTTATCCCAGCCTGCCTCGCCCTTCCTTGCCTAATCTGGCCTCAGGATTCTGGTAACGAAATAATAAAATAGAAATCCCCTCTTCCCATGCTAACTGCGAGTATTGCAGCATGATAAAAGCCCGGGTATAACCTTTTTCACTTCATTCTGTACGTAAGAAAATTTATTTGTAAATGACAAGAATCTGTTTTTACTCACCCCTTGTGAACTTGGAAATTAAATTTTGTTTAAGTGAGGATTTTTCTGTCACACATTCACACTGGCTTATTATTGCAGAGGAGCAAGTAAGTGCTGAGAACATTCATTTGCCGTTGTCTGAATGGTCAACAAAGTGCTGAGTTTTGCACAAAACTGTCTA